AACAAGCCTCGTGACCAAGAGTCTGACTCATCTTCCTGGAGGAAAGCACTACTGGGAGAAAAGCTCAGGAAACCAGCTTTCAATCCAAGCACCCAACACAGTCTTGCACTGCTTGGTTCAGCCCTGCCTGAGGCTGAGGGGTGCTGCCCTGCCTCAGGGGCCCCTAAAAGAGAGGGGACATCTGAGATTAGGGGATTAAGGGGACTAAGTAGTCGTAGCAAAAAACCTAGACTGGACAGCAAAACAGCCAAGATCTGAACTTTGGATGGTGCAACCTCCGCCCTGGTGCTCCCCAGGCTAACACTCCCTGTGTCCCTTTCCCTCCTCCTCGTTCAAGGGCCCCCTCCTTCAGCCCAGCGCCAGCTGCAACCGTCCCTGGATGCCATCCTCTCTGTCCTCTGCCGGCGCTAAGAGATATTTCGATCCCTGCTCAGTTAGCAGTTAAAAAAGAAGCGTGAGACTAACAATCCCAGAGGTGGTTGTGATTTCAATGGGGATTCACTGACAATTCCAGAAAAAAGCCTTAAGAACTGTTATATAGTGGTAGAATTTCAGATCCTATGAAAAATCAATAATATATTCACATCTTGCATGCACAAATGGGTCCACAGACACAAGACAGAAAAGAAAGATAACACACACACATATAATTAAAAAGAAAGTACATCCATTGCATATAAATCAAGAAGTATCTACGTGTACTCTTGCTTTGGAATATCAAGACCCGGGTAGTAATCACATACTTCCTTAGGGCTATTGCCTACCTCCCATGTCCCTGGGGTGTCACACCAGCCCTCGGTGAGGCAGCGTATGGTCTTGGGACTGAAGGCTGGTCTTTTGTCAGCGTGCTTCTCTCTGTACACACCAGGGCCACATGTCCATGCTCCCTCTGCACCTAGGCTCCACTAGCCCAAAGAAAGTCCCTAGTTCCACAGTTGCTTAAATTCTATTTAAACTTAACTCTAACAAACTGTCCCAGTCTCTAGAAAGTCCATGGACAATAAAAGGCCCAAGAGTGGCTGAGAGGGGGTGTGGCCTGGTTTGTCCGTGGCTCAGAAGGGCATGCCAGAGATCCCTCAGGGTCATTTCCATAGGCCCAGCACAAAGCATGGTGCTTGGCTCACAGTAGGCCCTACACATGTATTTGTCTGGTGTCTCTGAACTGCTGGGCCAGGACAAGTTCAGCATTTCAGGCAGGCTTAGAAGTTGCCACCAGCCTCGGACACGAGCAGTGATCCTGAGTGCAGTGGGCAGTATTCTAGTCCTAGGTAAAGAGGGGGAGAATGCTCCAGAATGCTCCCAGGGTACGTTCAAAACCCAGACTCCCCACACCCCCTGGATAAAAGGAGCAGGGCCTGTAGAAGTCTGTGTGGGTCCCTCCACCTTCACAAGCTGCCTCATCCTTAACTTGACGTCTTTTATCACAGGGGGTGAAGACTGATTTATGTGGCCGGGGTGACTCTCAGAGCACTCTGCATTCATCTGTCCATCCAGACCGTGAGCAGTTCACAGAGGACGTGCTCCACAGGCTTGCTTATGCAAATTCTGGGACACAGTCAAGAGGGCCATGGGCTGGTGGTCTGGAAACTTCCGGCCCCAGCCTCAATGCTATGAACTGAACTCTAAAACCAATGACATTTAGAGCTGGAAGAAGGTTTCCAAACGATGGTATCTACATTTTACAGATGAGGAAATGGTGGTAAGAAGGGCGGTGACGCCGCCACGATCAAGCGCTTGACCGCAGAGTCAGCGCCCACGGGCCAGCGCGTTCATCACTGCAGCATCACCGTGGCTTGGCGTTCTGAGATTGCAGGTGGCATTCCTGCCGCTCACAAGACAACGGAGGAGCCTAGAGAGGAATCTCACAGAATCCAAGTTAAAACACTGAGTCAGTCCGTCTCTCCCTCTCCCTCTCTCTCCTCCACCCCACCCTCCAGAGCCGTTCCCGCACACCATGTGTGAGAGAAAACAACAGAATGGAAATTGCTCATATGGAGCATGAGGAGGCTGCCCACCTCCCTCGCACAGCCCGTGCGCAGAGACAGCCCCTCAGCTGTGCCGCAGACACAAGGTGGCTCATGCTCATTGTTTATTGGGACAGCTGACAAGCCAGCTGGCACAGATCACTCCTCACTTCCAACGGAGAGGCCACCAGGACACGTGTGACAGGTGCCAACTGCCACTCAAGGAGATGGGTGGTGTCCTTGCCACCACGGCCCCGGGCCCCGGGCCCCGCCGCCCTCCAGCGGGCTTCCCAGCAGCGAGCAGGAGTGGGCCCAGCTCCACGCTGGTCATTTGTGGGAAGGGGGCGGCGGCACACTCATGCAAGCCAGCGGTGGAGCCGAAGTTTGTTCGAATGCTCCCGGCACGTCTGTTATATTTGGCAAAGGACTGGCAGCTCTGGACAGAGCAAGGAGGAGAAGGAAGAGGCAAAGCGTTGCATGTGAAAAACACGCCGGGCACCACCAGAAGTGTGGGCCGGCCACTAAGGGATCTGGCAGTCTCCGGAACAGGAGGGGCGCCCCCATCCCCGAACCTTGGCCAGGTCCACCTGGATTCACTGCAAAGGGAAAAGCAGTTCCTTGTAGAGCTGGGGGAGGGGTGAAGGAGAGGGGGCTGGTGCTCTGACCCAGGGCACAGGACACAAAGAAGGCTCTCAAGGGGCAGGCCCTAAGTAACTCAAGAAACCCCTTCTGCTCTCAAGTTTTCCCCTGCCAACCTGCTCGGCAGAGAAGGTGCTCTCCACCTCAGCACTGCCGCTATTTCGCGTTGGATAACTCTTCACCGTGGGGGGCTGTCCTGTGCACCGCAGGAGGCTCTGCAGCATCCCCGGGCTCTTCCCACTAGACTCCAGGAGCAACTCCCCCCCAGCTGTGGCAATCAAACCATCTCCAGACATGTCCCCTGTACCCCAGGATAACTCCCAATTAAGAAGCCACTGGTATCAGGGCCAAGAACAGAGTCAGGCCCCTCAGACGGCTGGGGTCAACTGAATCCCAACTCCATCATCTGCTAGACAGGTAATTTTGGCCATGTCGTTCCATCTTTGTGCTGTGTCCTCAGCTATAGAACAGCAAGGTAATAACAGAACCCACCTTTATAAGGTGGTCCCAAACGTTCATTTATCTCATACAGGGAAAACTCTCAGTGTTGTGTCTGGCCCAAGGGAGGCATTCCTCTCCCACAGAGAAGCCCAGGAAATACTCCATTCTTCCAGAATCCCTACTGGCAGGGCTCCAGTTTAGAGTCTGCCTACGAGAAGCTTCTGTCTGCAATTTGAAAAACAGAAGAGAAGGAGAAGCCGTTATTCTCCCCTAGGATAGGCCCCCCGAGCCGTGTGCGGGGACAGGTGGGAGGTGAGCCTCAGCTTCCAGACCTCCTGCAAAGCCCCTACTTTGGTGCCATAATGATTGAGGTCATCTGTGGCTGTTTATTTTGATTTCTGCAGGCTCCTAATCTTTGGAAGCCAGATGCAGTTTTTCCTGACCCATCCTCCACCAGCCCGTCCAATGGGTGTGTAAGACATAACTTCCTGTATGAAATCCCTTCCTGCGTAAAATATCTAGAGCCGGTCCTTTTTTCCAGACCAAATTCTAACTTATGAACCCACTGAATTGATCAAGAGACTAAAATCCTGGGACACCTGGTGGTTCAGTTGGTTAAGTGTCTGACTCTTGATACCAGCTTGGGTCTTGACCTCAGGGTTGTGAGTTCAAGCCCTGCTTTGGGCTCTGCACTGGGTGTGGAGCCTACTTAAAAAAAAAAAAGATACTAAAATCCTACCATCAGGAATATTGGGTATGTATGTATCTATCTACGATAGAACTTTTATTTCCAAAGAAAATACCAAAGTATAACACAGGTAACAGTAGAGCTTTTCAAGATGGCCAGGTGTGTGGAGAAAGGGTGTGCCCAGCTGGTTTACCTTCCCACACCTGCAGAAACCTAAAGCTCTGAGAGACCTTGTTTGCAAATCTCTGAGTAAGAGAAGAGCCCAAAAATATCTAGCAGCCCAGGCACACAAAGCGCTCGAGTCGAAGTCTGCATGAAGCAGTCCCAGGGCCAGAGAAGGGAGCAAGCACCCGCTGACTTGATCTGCTCTGTAAGATGCACTGTGCCCAGGCTGGGGAGAGAAGGGGTCTGTTGGGAAGCAGGTTCCCTGTCCTTAAGGATTTCAGAGTCAAACGGCAGATGAAAATAGAAGCAAGGTCCGAAGACCAGGAAAAAATGGGTGATGTGTCTTGGTGAGAGGCCCGCCGCACTGGGTGGCCGAGGAGGACCTGTGGTCCTATGAACAAGGCCTCAGTGAGCAGATGCCGGGCTGTGCAGCACGAAGGGCTCCCTGACTCCCAGGTGTGACAGGAAGCCCACTCACAAGGCATCTAGAAGAGACAGCTGCCCAGGCAGGGGACAGAGCCAAAAACCTGGAGTCCCCTCTCCCTGGTGAATAACGCACCGAGCTGCTCTAGGCCCACATCTCCTGTCCAGGCAGCCCCACCGATTAGGAGGGAGTTGCCATATGGTCATTATTTTCTAATTGATTTTTGGCAAATTGCTTTCATCTGGTGAGTTCCGTTTGGGTGGGCCAGACACCATGTTTCCCGTACTTCACTTTTCATCAGCTAGGACTTTCAGAAAACTCAAGGTATTCACGGGAAACTGGGCATATCTGCTCTGAACACTTTTTTTTTTTATATTGTTTTGACACACCCGCCAAGAGATTGGTCTCTCTTTCCAGCACTGCTTTCAAAAGTCAGGTTTTTATGGTTGAGAATTCTCATTAAAAATGATTACTTTTGGCAGCAGAAGTCGGAAAGGTGACAGGAGAGAGGGAAGTATTAGAGGCACTGAGATTTTTTTTTTCCTTCCATTTGCAGAAAGCCTGCCTGTAAAGCAAACATCATGGGGAGAATGAAAAATATATATATATTTGAAACACACAACGAAACCCCTCCTAACCTTTATATGTATTTGGAGCAATTTCCTAAGTACAGGGGCTAAACCACTATCCCCATGCCCTGTTCATACCTCCGCAGAGGCTGTAGCCCCACTGAGTGCTGGGCAAGTTTGCCCCCACCCTGGGGGCCTGGCGCACGGGACCACCTACACAGATGCCCTATGAGCAAACACAGCCACGGCAAACGGTTACTAGAACACCGGGGAGAGAAGAAGCCAACGCACATCATGGACACCAAATGTAGGGACTAGAAATCTAGGCAAACCACACTCTTTTTGGTAATACTGTATTTCTTCTTTCACCTGTGTCTTGGGCAAAAATAAAATACAATACAATCATTCCTAAGTCTGCAGTAATTCTCTAAAGGAACTGAACATATAAACTTTTCTTGATGTTTCTATTTAGATATACAATTTCTTGAAGACATTGAGATTCATGTTTCTTTATTGTGCAAAAATACTCCTCCTTACATTGTGTGTGTGTGTGTGTGTGTGTGAAAATGACTACGTCCCCCTTTGCACTGTCAGGAAATGTGGGGACCTGGTGGGCCCCAGCTGCCATTTCTCCTGAACTTTGTGTTCCTCCCCTACTTATTCATGTGTTGGATCTTGTCCCTGGGTTTCCTGTCTAGGAATAGAGTGAAAATGTGGCTGTGCTCTGGGAATCTTCAGCTCTCTGTGACAGGTTGGCCCACAGTGTGGTAATGTCTGTCAACTATCCTGGGTCCTTTGGTGGCCCATGATGTCCCATGTCCTCAATCCTCCAAACACCAGCGCCCGCACTTGGCAGAAGATGAGCCAGTATGGACTCGAGGTGACAGACTTTAAGAGCCTATAAGTTTAGAAACCACTTTCACAGCAGACTCCCTTTTTCCTTGTATATTTCCTGTTTTGATGAGTGTTGCAACTTTTATTCGCAATATCCCAGGAAGCAGTAACAATTATGTTAAAACTCAAAGTACACTTCCTCATGATAGAATCAATTTCCTGCCCTTGGAGATTCACTGTTACTTTCTGTATGATTTCTGTACTTACATACGCTAACAGGAATAAGACACCCACTCTGTGTCTACATTTATACATTCATAATCTGTATACAGGGTCTGGCACATAACAGGCTCTCACTAAATGTGATTTGACTTCCCTATCAAACATGGAACACAGGTAGGTCTGAGACCTGCGATTCCTAGCTTGTTATTTTGTGGATATGAAGTATTAGGTCACCTTTCTCTTTGCTTTTCTCCTTGGTGTTTGATCTCTTGATGGCAAATGGGAAGGCTGGAGGATAAAGAGTCTGCATCCAGAATTACCCCAAGGTTGAGTATAGTCACAGGCAGACCAGGTAGGCAGATGCAAGCTTGAATGACCCAACTGTGAAGGAACAAGGCAAGACAGATGAGCACAAGTCCAGGTAGGCATTGGTCAAGAATTGGGAGAGGCCAGGGCCTCAGCACACAGTTGGGCAGGTTGTCCTCAGCCCAGATGCCCAGTGAAAGGATGATGGGAGCTGAAATCCCAAACATAGGTGACACCTTTTCCTTCTTCATGCAAAAGTATCTTATGGGCTCCCCATGATTCTCAGAGATCCAAGGGCAATGAAAGGCAGGCAAATTTGAGGAGAGAATCGACATGGGGCCCAAGAACCAAGAAGACTTCCATTCGGACTCAGCATTTCCTCCCAGCCAGCAAGCTTTGATACGTTCTCTGCCAGTGGCAACATAAACTCCTGGATTTGGCCTCCACGGAACCTACAACATTTCTCAGACCTGCGTGCGGAGAGTGGGGCTGTGAATACAGGAGGACAGGATCGTACGAGGCTAAGGCTCTGAAGCAGAAAACTGAGAGGGGGCTTCAGAAATTGTACTGGGTTGAAGAGTGTCCCCAAAATTCATGTCTACCTGGAACCTCAAGATGTGACCTTATCTGGAAATAGGATCTTTATAATTAATTAGTTGTAATTAATTAGTTAAGATGAGGTCATACTGGAGTAGGATGGGGCCTAAATCAATCTGACTCGTGTCCTTGTAAGAGGAGAGACGCAGACACACAAACACACAGAGGGAGGAAGGCCATGTGAAAACAGAGGCAGAAACTGGAGTGATGGAGCCATGAGCCAAAGGACATCAAGAACTGCCTGCGACCACTAAGCAGTTAGGAAGAAGCAAGGATGGATTTTTTCCCCAGAACTATCAGAGAGATCATGGCCCTGCGAACACCTTGATTTCAGACTTCCAGCCTCCAGAACTGGGAGAGGGTCATATTCTGTCGTTTTAAGCCACCCAGTTGTGATATTTTGTTATGGCGCACAGAAAACAAATACAGAAATCAGCCAGTCCGGTGCCTTCAAAGTCCCGATGTATGCACCGAGACCCAGGGGAGACCTGGAGACTGACCCAACGGGACAGGGCTGAGTCCCAGCAGAGCTGTCCACCACACTGCCTTTTCTGGAAACTCATACAAAAGGAAGAGAATGTCATTGTCCTATCAAGTTAAGTTAACCAGATGTTAACCACAAAATACTTACAGCCTAAAAAAGACAAAGGAAACTCTCATTTGCCGTATGCACTGGACTATACATGTCCACCCTAGAAATATTACAATGTTCTATCTGAAATATTTCACCTTCTGTGAAGCCAAAAACACCCTCTCTCCATTTTCCCCCATTCTGTAGATAAAGTTACGTTGTTGTTGTTTTTTTTTTTTTTCCTGTCCACAAAGTTCAACGACAATAACAAAGACTTCTCTCCACAAGAACTGGCATAACCAATCTGGCCTTGATAAATAGGACTCTGGTAAATACTATACAGCTGATAAATTCTGTCCCAATTATACATGCCTATCAAATTCAAAGGTGGTTTTGTGGTAGGCTATTAAATGCATGGTTCAATTACAACCTTCCTGCACATAACATTTCTTCCCTGGTTAAGGCATCAAATACTAATT